TACGAAAGAACGAGATTTTCCTAGAACAGGTGATATGTTTTGTAGTTCATACGGGTTTTAAATATAATTTTGATGTGATTTCTAAATTCTATCTTGTTGATTTTCTGATCATTTGCAACTTCTGATCTATTCTTTAGACTGTGAAATCACTTATCTATGTACTGTCGATTAGCTTTTGGGCAGTCGTGGAAATTAGCTTCTAGCACTTTCTGGCTCTGGCCTCTAGAGTCGGATTCATTTGACTATCCATTATGAAGTTCAATATGGACAAAAGTAGAAGTGAAACATGTAGTTTTAGGGGAAGTTTCTGAACAATAAGTTACAGATGTGGTGGAATGCAACGAAGAACACTGTTATCCGGGGTGATTAATTTGGAACTCAATGCCTATATGCTTTGAAGACTTCGGATAAAAGTGCTTGATTGCTATGTGGATTCTGGTTGGTTAGTAGTGAGTTGTGGAGTCTGAGAAAGCTCAATGATCCACTTATATTCTTTCGCAAATTTTCTTGAATTTCGCATTTTTCATAGCATGCATTGATCTGGTGATAGGAAAAAGTCTAAAGCTTGCACATTATAATCAGAAGACACTTGTATTCTACGGCTTGGTCAAGAATATTTACATCAATGGCAACTACCTAGCTAGTGGCCTGTACACCAATGAAACTGTTATTCAACTATCTGTTGTGGGAACTAATTGATCAGTAGCTAGCTAAGAATCTAATATATCACTTCGTACTTTCATGATGCTGCACTTGGTAATTGTTGTTGTTTCTTGTTTGTTTCCTTGTGTGTAGTCAAAGTTTCGGTATCCTGCCTATCTGGACAAGTGGATTTTGCAAGCTGTTAACCGGAAGTGGGCAGAGTTCAAGTGTGATCTAAAGAGCAAGCACTTTGGAGTTGGGAAAACAGTGGAGAGCATTATGGCTGAGGGACTCCCACAAGGTGTTACCGATGTAAATCAATGGTACACCTTGGTAGCTAGCTGGTTTACAGAGAAAAGCAAGGTAAGATTACTAACGGTTTACCAACAGTGGAAACCATTATGCGTAATATGTCTTAGTTTAGATGCACATGATGAAAAACTGATTTTCTCTTCCAGAAAATGTGTAAAGTAAACAGCGACAACGCTAAGAAGAAGAAGCTGCATCACACGGCAGGAAGGAGGAGTATTGCAAGGATAAGAAAGGAATTGGTAAAAATTTAATCCAGTTTAGCTCTAGACAATTGTTGAACTTGTCTATGTTGTTCTAATTTCGAATATGTTAATGCTTACTACTAGACTTGAAGTTTTTGAAGTTCTCCATAAGAGGAATGACGGAACATACATTAATGACTATGCTAAGGATTTCATGGTAAGACCAATACTTTTCTTTGATTGTACTAATTTATTATGCTGCATTCTGATTCCTGTGCATTTTTAAATTGTTATTTCATAAAGGATAAAGCAGCCGAAATGGAGGGCCCTAGGGCAAACTCCGACCACATATTTTGGAGTGTGCTCAAGAGGGGCTGCATGTGGATCGTGTTCGGCTGGTCATTCATGTGCAAATGCGACTGCTTTGAAAGAGGAGTTAAGGGAGGTGAAGAAACACATGGATGTCATGGTGAGGTTCATCAGTAGACAGTTTCCCGGACAAAACTGGATGGAAGATGCTGAAAACAATCAGGTAATGTTCCATCTGTCTTTTTTCCTAGTCAATTACGTCTGACTGTTTATGGTTCTGAGATTTATACTCTGCTCGGGGTTTTTGCTTGCTATGCTGCTCTCCATGACGGATTTTGTGTAAAAAAGAGGGTGCTAAAGAAACTAGTCTCTTTGATGCATAGTGAATCTTTAGCTATAGTTCGATATGCCATTTCATAGGGAAGTCAGGTTTCCAGGAGGGACATCTGCTAGTGAGGTATGCTCTGGGAAAATCACCTCAGCAGATTGCAAGATATTGATAGATAGAATAGGGTGTCCAAAGACTGCAGACAAACAGGTGAAAGTTAGCTTCTTGCTTGTTGGAAAAATGGAAAAATGGATGCACAGGTGAAAGTTAATAAAGTGTTGTAATTGAACACTCAGACTCTGTTGAGTTTGTATTCAGTCAGTTTGTACAATGAGAGTATAGGTACTGGGAGTGGGAGAGCTATAGATGTTCTGTCCAAGAAAAGAAAGAGGGTTTAGGGTTTTAATAAGTTACATTACAGAGAGAGTTGAAGTTTCAGGGAGGAAGCAGTAATGTATTAATTCATGACACTACTAATTAATGTTGACAATTAGCTTCTTGCTTGTTGGAAAAATGGATGCACAGGTGGAAGTTAATAGCTTCTTGCTTGTTTTCTTAGGCCAATTAGCTCTTGAATTAGTGTTGACAATTATTTTCTTTTGTTAACAGGGTGCCACTAGTGAAGCTGCTCCGTCAATGGGTTCTTGAGCTTCGTGATCAGATGGTGTACATGTCTTATATGAAGCATTTTGGAAATGATCGACTCATGTAGCTTTTAATCGATTTCTTTTGAGTACTCAAAATATCATGAACATAACATTTTCCCTTTGATTATGTTTGAATGTTTACGGTGACTAGTATATAGTCATGTAAAGTTCACCATTTTGGATGATGAATCATATTATGTTGTGATTCAGGATATGAAGTGTAATATGGTATGTTATGAATTTTAGTAACAAATCTGGATTTGTTTTTAATGACCAGGCTATTAGCAACCAAGCTATAGTTACAAAATCTGTTGCTTAGCTTTAGTAACGACTTTAGCCACCGTTTTGATTTTGACACAAATGTTTCCCAGCTTTAGCCACAAGCTGTGCAAGGGTTTTAACCCTTGTTACTATCCCCTATTATATAAATTTGCATAGGCGTGTAGCAAGGGTTCAAACCCTCGTTAGATGTAGGAACGAATTTTCCAAGGGTTTTAAACCCATGCTAGAGGGACTCGTACTTGAATTTTACAAAGACAAATACCAAGGGTTTAAACCCTTGCTATACCCGCTGCAAAGAACTTGCACCAAGGGTCGCCAATAACCCTTGCTACACGTAGCAGGGGCGGCTTTGCCAAGGGTCCAACCAAGGATTGTATGAACCCTTGCTACATCTTGTAGCAGGGGTTAAAACCCTTACTACGAATAAAAATAACCCTTGCCATAGACCCTATTTTTTGTAGTGATTGGATTCTCAACGTCAGTTCCCATCATTCTTTCACTAATCTTACTACCGTTTTGGCTCTCAACTACCTTCATCAATTCCTTCCAACATGTCATGATCTTCACACCGACATGGATTAACAACCGGCTCGCAACTGTAGCTTGCCTCTTCATCGCGGCCAAAATGGAGGGATATGTTCCTCTCTTAAAGGATCTCCATGTATATATATTTCGCCGAATTTGTCGTTATTCACTCTTTCTTATAAAGCTCATTGTTGCCGAAGAAAATCCTCTTAATTTTGGACTACTAAAATTGCATGCTTCAGTAAGAAATTTACTAATTTATAATCCTTCCATCGTTTGTTCCTTTTTCCGTTTCGTTTATGCATTGTGAGATCAAACCTTGTGATCTCCCTTGCTGGTACATATTTGTTTTGTTTTGCTTCGTTTTGCAATATAAGTTTATCGCCATTATAAAAAAAAACGTTCAATTTGTACAATTATAAATTTTCTTTTGCAATCCAAAGCATCAATGCTATGAACCATTATAAATTTTCTCAAGTTTATACAAATATAAATTTATCTTAGTGCATATGTTTTCAATAATGTCCCAATCGACAAATGAGAGTAGTAAATTTGCACATATTATGGTCTCATAGTCTTGTGATATTTGCATTAATGACTAAACTAGAGAATATATCCAGTCCAAAAAGCAATTTCGTCAGCTCGTCTATCTCGTAGGGTTTGGAAGAGTTTGAATTAGCGGTGTCCTCTTCAAAAATAATTATTAATTTCTTTTTTAAAGTAGTATATTAAATTAAAAAAAATACTAGTACAAGTTACAACAAAATATCATGATGTATTTTCATATCCTGAAAAATGGTAAAAATACACTCACTATTTACAGTGCTCGACAAATCTCTTTCAGTATATCCTACTAGACAATCATTAATGAAGATTGCATATTCGATCTGAAGATTGTTCTTGATGTAACCCCAAGCTAAAAAAGTTTTTTCAACACTTGCAGTTACAACTAGTAAAATCAATATAAGTTTAAGAAGCAAACTCGTTAAGATAAAATCAAGTAAAGCTTATTAGCATTTCCTATCAAAAGTAACAAACTCATTCTTCTGGATAAGACAAGTCATACAAGTTAATAACCTAGTAGTCACCTCTTCAAGGGGATTGTTCAACCCTTCCATCAAAGCAGTTATTCAACTCTTGCTGTTGCATACTAAGAATCTTGTAAAATAATTTAAATTGATAGTGATGCAAGCTTCGTCAATACTATAAAGGCCGACAATTGTAATTTAGCTTTCAGAGTTCGGATGCAAATTGGGAAGTTTAGAATTTAATTGGACTTTGTTAATACGCCCCTGGAGGGTGTATTTTTATCAAAGTAACGCAGCAACGACTCAATCGAAGAATCGATTGAGCTCGAATCAAGAACGAAGCGCTCTTAATACGAACTTGGGATAAAACGGAACCAATGGACAATTCCACACCTGGGGAAAGCTCGTATGGTATAAAAGGGTAGCTGCTCGACCACGATTGAAGAGGATATTCAATCGATACAAAGCTCACAAGCTTGGAATCCACCAAACTCAAACAAGTCGCAACTTGCACAAAACCAAAGGTTTTTCGATTAATCAAAGTCTTATGTTTTTACAACGTAAATGGAGGGCTATTTATAGCCAATAAAACCTAATACAAATCTAGATGAACAAGGAAACAATTAAGGTAAAAACAAACTCTAAAAAGGACTCAAAATTCGGCCATAAACTTCCTTTCTTGGCGCACAAGTAATCTGCCCGCAAAACAGTCAAAAGGCAGCTTTCGTACTAACTTCGCGCCTTTCGTTCGAGACCTTCCAGAACTCCGATCTTTCATCCGATTCCTTCCCTTGGTAGATAAACATACCTAGTTTCATGTTGTAGAAGCCTTTGGTCTCGAATCAGATCCATGCTCCTTGAATTGAGCTCCAAAGTAGGCTTCACAAAACAGTTTTCTGCCTTAGCCATTTTCTGGCAGTTTTCCAGTTTTGAGGTAGCAACTTTGAGGCCTTGGAAAACAACCTTAATGACATCATCTGTGTAACACCCTACCCTATACGTATTACCTAATCATATTGTTCATACAATTGCAGCGGAATTAATCTTGGGTGTTACATTAATTATCAAAATTTACCCAAATAAAATCTCGACATGAATTACTCGCATAATGGGCTAACAGTTCTTGCAACTTATCCTGCAAAATCATTCATCACAAACATATATACTCACAACCATATGCATTGGCTTTCATAGCCATAGGCACAGTTTCATACTCCACAACTGCATACCTTACTAATACATATCATAATCGTCATAACTTACACAACCACATAAATATACACATATCATCAACTTTCCACCCCTATGGATATCTCACACTACATCAGAAGCTAGTATGCACATGAAAAACGTTCTCAAAACATTTTTACAAAAAGGTGTGGATCACTGGCCAAAATCCCAAGTAGTAGTCCACGCACAGAATAGTTGAAGACCATACCTCATCTTGCCTTCAACTCTTGCTCAGCTCCCACCTATACACCTATCTACTGCTGCTGATGATGATCTGCTTACACATGGCATAAGCAGAGAAAAAGGATAAAGAGGGTCAGCTCATAGCTGAGTGAGATAATCATAGCATCGTGAGTTCATAACAGAGCATACCCCTATCATACATCTAGCAAACAAGCCAAAGTACTAGGATCAGACCTCAGCCATCCGACATCCCAATAGGCAAAAGACTCAACCACCTTGACTTATGCATATGCGTCTTATCATGTTTTACTTATAGGCGCCTGGCTACTCCCATGCTATTAACTCTCCCGGGAAACATACCCCACATCCCGTCGGATGTAGTCATACATACCCCAACATCCCGTCGGATGTGGTCATACATACCCCACACCACTATGGGTGTAGTCATACCCCGACACCGCTCTGGGTGTGGTCATATCTCGTAAGAATTCTTCAGTCACCACCACATGAGAGGTGTGACTATCATACATATCATAATAGAGTAATAGCATAGGGAGCCCTAATTACTATGTAGTTGACCGTGAGACCACAACACTCATATTTGGTATCCTTATACATGATTCATATCTCATCTTGCTTAATCATAATTCATTACTTGCACATGTACTTGACCTGACCATAATTGGCTCAACATAGGTAAATCAGGAGTCGTATAATTGCACTTCCTCGGGATAAACCCTCGTGCAAGTCATCCTCCTTAAACATCATAATATCACCAGAGAATATATATTTTTCCCACATGTGCATCCAAATACAACAATCATGAACAATCATACCCTATCACCTTTTCGAACCATCATAAGGCATATCAACAGTCAAGCCCACAATTTGCAACATATACACAATCATCAGCATAAGCCAGGTCCATATCAATTAGGGCAAGTCAATAATATCATATAGCAGTCCAGGGTTCATCATATAGCACAAAAGTCCATACACCCTTAATCATGCCATTCTAGTTCACCTAGGTCAATTCTAAGCATCAATATAATTATCGTGATACGACAAACCCGGTATGCCGTGCTAATCCCTCACCAGTTCTGGTCGTTCAAACCCCGGTTTAACCTTCCCGTACTAAAACGTCAATTTCACGAACGAACCCCGAATTAAAATCCGAGACCGCCCTAATATCCCCTGCAGTATCCCCGTCAATATTTGTTATAGGCTCCGGGTCAAATTCTTGATAAAAACACATCAAACCCTGGCCGGAGCTAAATTCAGCGGTTTGGACCCCGGCCTAAATAATAGCCGAAATTCAGGGATTAGAACTAGAGGATTGATTACCTCGCTGCAGGAAGCTCGTATATGAAATTTGGGCTCAATCCGGCTTCCGGATACTCCGAAACCCTAATTTGGCTTATCGGGAATTCAAGAAATTCCTGAACCAAAAACTCGTTTTAAAGCTCTAAATCGATAAATCACGATGAATAGATGAATTAGGCATTACTTACGGGATTTTTGGATCACTAGGGCTCAAGAATTTGAGCTTTGAAATTTTGGGTCGACAGCTCCGCGTGTGCTCTGTTCTCTGGTTTCTCTCGGTTGAGAATGAGAAAGGATGTTGAGAATTAAAATGGACGAGGAAGCTTTTGATATATATATGCGGCCCGGCCGCTTAATGTTATTATATATATATATATAATTAATACGTATACTTATCCGATCGATTGATAATCCGATTTTTGTCGAAATAGTGCCGAAATGCTCGATTTTAAATCGCGAACTTTCTAACGATCAAAATATGGGTCTTGCCGGAACGGGATGTTACAATCTGGCTCCATAAAGCATACCATTGAAAACATGGCAACTTGATCTGCAAAACAAACCCTTAAACTTGAATTTCCACCTAGCCAATTGAGAGAACCATGCCTCCAAAGTATGTACCCTGAACACGGATTTTGACTTGGCCAAATTCTGCCTTTCTTCTTCCCAACTTTGATAGCTTCTTTGTCAAGTAATCGTGACGTGAATGGTTGGCAATTTGGGATCATATCAGGCCCTCCCTCTTGAAAAAGTGTTGTCCTCAACACTTTGGCCTTTCTTTGCTCAAACCGTTCACAGAATTGATCCCAAACTGGATCGAAAGTAGCCTGCTCAAACACAATTTTCTGTAGCATTTTAACAGCGTCAATGGCAGCTTCAATATGTTCCGGCAGGTTTGGCCCTTGCAACGAAGTTAAGCACACTTCCTGACATTGATTAGAACCTGTAGGAGTGACCAATTTCAGCGAGAATCGATCGTCAAAATTCCCAGGTCGTCGGACGTCACTTCCATACATGTTTTTGCTCGAAGGAATTGGGGTTTTTTGTTTCAAGGATTCCCAATCAAATTCAACCACTCCAAGTTCTTCCCCAAGCTTCCAAATGAAGTTTCGAACCTGTTCCCAGCCTCGATTCGTCACTTTCGTTGTCAATTTGTCGACTTCCTCTTTCCCGCTGACGGCCAATTTCAAATTCTGGAAACACAGAATTCCCAATTCGAGTTTGGGGATTTTTGATTCAGGCGTCTTTGGAACAAATTGATCGCTTCCACACAATCCTCGTACCTCCTTTGATGATTTTACATAAGTTGTTTGGATCGAATCACGCCTGATCGCCCAACCAATTCTACAAATTTTCTTCGTTCTTGCACGTTTCCAGGGGAGTGTGAGCGTGTTCTTGATTCAGCAAAACAGAATGATTCGTTTCCTTTTGATCATGGGGAGAGCTTGCTGAAGCCATTTGGAACGTGACAGTGATATTGGATCCGCTCGACACTTCGCGAGCTGCTCCGACCAATTGCCCCTCTCTCCTACTCTGTGTCGCCGGAAGAACGTGAAGCTCGGCTGCTTGAAATGGCTTCTGTAATCCAGTTGTTTTCGTGCCATTCCAGCCTTCAATCGAGTTTTCAGGATACATGTGGAGCGTTCCTCTTGGCTTCTCTTGGGTCGGATCTTCTCCGGTGGCTCTATCCACGAGAGCAGTATCGGTGCTCTGTTCTGCCGGAGCTGAAGAAAGCGCGATAGCTCGCGTCGCTTGGGCGTTTTGCGCATCGACAAGCTGATACAGGCCGTCTCCTCGCTCGTTAGTCATTCCTTCAACCTCCATGGAGTTGTATGGAGACTCTTCGTGCTCCGATTCCCCCGCTTCATCATCGTCAAAGTTGCCGAATTTGGAACTCTGTTTCGGCGAAGCAAAACAGGGGTCGTGACTGTCGTCGGTATCCAGCAATGGATTTGCCCTTGGGAGCTTCCGAAAGCTTAGAAAATTGAAGCCCACTATTCTCTGAAGCCATAGCTTAGCTCGAGATTCTTTCCCCATGTTTCGAGTCTCCTCCATCTGCTTTTGATCGCCGTAAACATCATCCGGCGAAAGGGGTACCAGAACGATCTTCTTGCCGTGATGCTCAAACTTGTATCGATTGGTTCGACCATCATGTGTAACCTTACGATCGAATTGCCAAGGTCGACCTAGTATTAGGTGAACATAATTCATCGAAACAACATCACAAATTACCTCGTCTTCGTAACTGCCGAGTTGAAAACGAACCAACGCTTGTTTCGTCACGTTAATCGTCCCGTGCTCGTTGATCCAGCTGAGTTGGTAAGGCCCAGGATGCCTCGTAGTCTTCAATCCAAGCTTTTGAAGAGCGTCAAGGCTGATAATATTTGCACAGCAGCCTCCGTTGATCACGAGCGAAATTAATTTGCCTTCGACAAAGCATCGGCTATGAAACAAATTGTCCCGCTGTTCATCGGATTCTCGACTCTGAATTGGAGCTAATGGCCGCTTATATTGACCACGAATTTGCAGATAATTGGCCTCTCTACGATTTTCTTCCATCTCCCTTAATGCTACTGAATTTTTCATCGAAATTCCAATATAAAACAGCTGCTGCAAGGTACGTACAGGGGCTGCCCTGTTTTGCTCCAGAATTCTGCTCGTTACCAAGTAATTGATTGCTTCTTCTTCTTCGCCCTTGTGTAGAACCAGGCTCTGATACCACTTAATACGCCCCTGGAGGGTGTATTTTTATCAAAGTAACGCAGCAACGACTCAATCGAAGAATCGATTGAGCTCGAATCAAGAACGAAGCGCTCTTAATACGAACTTTGGATAAAACGGAACAAACGGACAATTCCACACCTGGGGAAAGCTCGTATGGTATAAAAGGGTAGCTGCTCGACCACGATTGAAGAGGATATTCAATCGATACAAAGCTCACAAGCTTGGAATCCACCAAACTCAAACAAGTCGCAACTTGCACAAAACCAAAGGTTTTTCGATTAATCAAAGTCTTATGTTTTTACAACGTAAATGGAGGGCTATTTATAGCCAATAAAACCTAATACAAATCTAGATGAACAAGGAAACAATTAAGGTAAAAACAAACTCTAAAAAGGACTCAAAATTCGGCCATAAACTTCCTTTCTTGCCGCACAAGTAATCTGCCCGCAAAACAGTCAAAAGGCAGCTTTCGTACTAACTTCGCGCCTTTCGTTCGAGACCTTCCAGAACTCCGATCTTTCATCCGATTCCTTCCCTTGGTAGATAAACATACCTAGTTTCATGTTGTAGAAGCCTTTGGTCTCGAATCAGATCCATGCTCCTTGAATTGAGCTCCAAAGTAGGCTTCACAAAACAGTTTTCTGCCTTAGCCATTTTCTGGCAGTTTTCCAGTTTTGAGGTAGCAACTTTGAGGCCTTGGAAAACAACCTTAATGACATCATCTGGCTCCATAAAGCATACCATTGAAAACATGGCAACTTGATCTGCAAAACAAACCCTTAAACTTGAATTTCCACCTAGCCAATTGAGAGAACCATGCCTCCAAAGTATGTACCCTGAACACGGATTTTGACTTGGCCAAATTCTGCCTTTCTTCTTCCCAACTTTGATAGCTTCTTTGTCAAGTAATCGTGACGTGAATGGTTGGCAATTTGGGATCATATCATTTGTTTTAGATTATAGTTACATTTATAAAAAATTTAACAACAAATGGTTTATAGTGTAAGAGAATAAGAGATAGCATTTTCTCTAATAATAACAATTTTACGAGTTCGACTCACAAAGATCGTTACCTTTTTTTTCTCCCAAACTCAAACTATAACTAGAGAGCCTTTTTTTTTTTTTCCTCCAATTTTAGTGGTGTCTACAAACACCGCTAAAAAACCTCTGAGTCTGCACATATCCCAAACTCAAATTACTATTGAACGTTGTTAGTTTTTTCCAAAATTTAAAGGCGTTGGAGGCCATGCGTCCATCCCTGGTCAAATGGTTTTACCATACAAACTAACAAAGCAAGTGTGATCTACTATGTTAAGTTAGTTGTTTATTATCTGAGCTGACGTGATTTAATAATATTTATTGTTATCATTATATGTGAAATAAGTAATTTGATGTCTTAGTCTGAACTACCAAGTCGTCTTATCACTATGGAAAAGGGATTAAGAATAACTGAATAAGAATAGAGATCACTTGGATTAATTAAAAGGAGTAGGTAAGGTCATTCTCATTCCTAATTTACCTATTTTTTGTCCCAATACTATCCTCACTTGTCTATAGCTCTCGCTTGAATCCATATGTGCCAGTTGCCCAGACCCTAGTTGAAATACCCACGTCATGTCGTTTAATGAGCTCCAGACCAAGACATCCCACCGTATTAGCTCTAGGTTTAGGGTCGAACTTTTAATGGTCATCCAATACTAACCAAAAGCAACTTGATCCAACCTGATTACCAATACAATGCTACATCTAAATTCTAATACTCACTCGTCATCCAATACAACCAAACCACTTTTCCCTATAACCAAAACCCAAACCAAACCAGTTAGTAGATAGCGGAACGGTTAACCAGAACAGTCAAGTGTTCGGTTTTGATAGGAAGGAATTAAATACAGTTTAATGGTTTGGGTAAGCAATTCACCATCGTAACCGTAACTGGTCGAAAGAACCAGTAATTACATTAGCCCAGTTCGGTTAACTGAAACCTGTTTAGCACCCCATATCATGCAAGAACAAAGGTCAAAAGAATTAAGAACAGCACAGGCAAGAAAGAACCAAACAGGTAATATAATAATAGCCTATGGAAATTGGAACTACGATTAATAAATTTCTGTAGTTCAGACTTTTTAGAACCCAAAACCACAGCCTATACTTGGTTGCAGGTATAAGATGAAGTTACTGTACGAATAGAAACATCAAACAGACTTCATTTCCTGTTCATAACATTTTAACTTGGAGTTGAGTACGCCACCACCAAGACAAACAGCCTTGAACGTGGCTATTACTATTAGTACACTAATAACAAGGACATCGGGTGACAAACCTCAAAGTACATTTGCTTGCTAAAACAAAAGTTAAACAACTGCCACAGAAGCTCGGGTGGCATTTACACAACTGCTACTACACATGAGGCGACACTACCACAGTAAGAAACATTACACCTCAATACCTCAACTCCGGAAACAAGACACAAACTTCGTGCACCCCGATAAGACTTGCTTCATATAGCAACCGAATCTTTGGGGAAGCATCCCAAAGTCATCCTGCAAATTCCAAAGAGAACTTAGAAATGACATATAGAAGTTATAATCTTAGCTGAATAGGAGGTACACATAAGAAACAGTTACCTCTTAGACAGCAGCGAACGGTCAAACACCTCCTCCATAGAAACAAACTGAACCCATGGATCATCCAACGGACACAAGAAACAAACAGGCTCTCATGGGGGAAAAGGAAACAGGGGTTGGATTAAACTAGCTAACTCCAGAAGCAGAATTCACCTATAACTACTACTACTACTTCCCCTTTCCAGTTCTTCCATAAAAAAAACAAGGAAAAATGGCTAAAGGGGTACACACCCAAACAGAGTGTGTAAAAGGGTCAGAGATACCTAAGGAGGAAGAAGGAAATGATGGTGAGGATATTGAAGACAAAAGAGAGTCGTACAGTCAATTCAGCAACTGTCAACCAAAAGAAAAGTTATAAGAGGATACCCCCCAGAGAGCCAATTTGATGCAACATACAAGACGAGAAAAGCCTAACTGAAGTTCAAATGAAGAGTTTAAAATATGGACAGGAAAGGACACTGAACAACAAACCACGAGAGTTAAGACTAAAGGACTAAGCTGAGGTTTAAAAGTATATATACATCTCAGCTGAACTAGAGAGAATGACCAGGGCCATGATCACATTTCTTGAGAATGTGACACCACAAAGTTGATCTCGATAGAGATGCAGTGATGTATGCTCACAAGTGGTACACAGCAGCAGATTCATCATATTGCCGATCAAGAGTTGAGCTATTCATTCACTCCAGAAAGAATACCCCACAAATAGTACCAGAAACCAATTCATTCTGCTTCGTCAAGCTACCAAGACTATTTCCAGTTATCTCTTCGTCCACGATACCAATACAATCACCCGCCACCTTGTTTGCCATCTCTACTTCATCAGACACCATGTCACCCACGGTATGTCACTACAATTGGTGCATCGCTCGCCCAAGCATCTTGTTTCTCAACGCTAGAGATTTGACTACTCATGAAAGATATTCTTTTTGCCTTGTACCATTACTAGCATAAACTAAGCAAACTTGTATGCTACTCATACCATTTAGTCGTTTATTGACCATATGCAACCTAAAACTGGAACACATATATACAGGAACAAAAGCTGCTCACCCTACCAACTCAATCATCACCCAGATCAAGGTTAAGAATGCGACGAAGGGTCTTGGTCGCAGAGTCAGTAGTGCAGAACATGTCTCTGGTGGGCGAGTCATGCTTCCTTGAAGGAGAAGCAGGAGCAGACTTGGCAATTGGAGGCAGCTCAAATTTTGAATCGGGAAGTGGCAAGTCCAGTGACACGGTTCGTTTAGGCTTCATTGAGAACTTAGGGATGGGGAGTGAACTGGGTGGTGGCGAATTCGAATAAGCAGGACCAGCCCATAGCTCAGAGAAAGCAGAGTCCTCGTCTGAGTTAAAAATGCCATCATTAAAAGTGGAAAATTTTCTGGGCCCTTTCACACTGATAGGAATAGGGGAGCTCACAGGGGCAGTCTTGTGGCGGGATTTGTCCCCAGAATGCGCATTCCACTGGGCATTGATGGAACTTGAAGGCGTTTTGGGAGAAGAACAGGGGGAAATGGAGGAACAAGAGATGGATGGGTTGGTTTTACAGGAAGAGCTAAAGGGGTTGGGGAGTATGCCAGGTCCAGATTCAAAAGTCCGGCAATTTATCCCTCTAAAGTTCCTACTAGATGGGGAAGACCCAAAGCGGCCAGAACGGTGGGGCTTGACCCTGCCATAGCACTGATTTCTGTGATGAGCAACAACAAGAAGCGTCTCCATAGCTGAACAAAAACCACCAAACTTTTCCTCGATTCAAACACGAAATCCACACCCAACTCGCAACCAGTATAAGAAATTTCAGAGTTTTCCGACTGAACAACACAGCAAAAAAAGCCTCAAGAGCAGTAACGAGTTCTAGATCTCCTCCAAGCCAGATCACAATTAATCAACCAGGTAACAACCAAACTCGGACGGATTCGTATATGGTCTAATCAGAAGATAAAAAAACTAGCATCGGCCTTGCACAGATCCAAAAGAAGGATAAAACCTTATCAGATCTCCTTCGTTGGATAGCCAGATCGGGACAAATCAGGCGATTGAACTGCAGAAAACGCAGTATACATGCCATTAGAAAGGCAGCAGAGGCACAATAGATCCCAAAATAGGGAGCAGTAGAAAGAGAAGAACCCTTACCGTAGAGTGTGAAGATAACAGAGAGAGAGAGGGAGAAAGAGACTGTGAAATATAGAGGCCAAGGGCGGAGAACAGAGTGAAGAGGGACTCGGTATCCGCTATTGCTAAGGTGAAGGTGGTTCAGGGAACACAGTGGGTAGGAGAGGGAGAGAGAAGAGAAAGCGAAGACGCTCAAATCGCCATCGGAGTGGGAGAAGTGAAGAAGACCTTTTCCAAGGGCGAAAACCACGGATCTGAAGGGACGCTGTTTCCTATCTTCGCTTATTCCCAAGGTTGTCAATCTGCTGTTGGCTCCGTCGGTTGACCCGGTTTGATCCTGATCCACTCACAAAAATGGGTTGAACACATTTATCGGGTCGACTGCTGTAAGGTACCGAATTAGAGGTCAATTGTGTCATTTTTTTTCTTTGGTTTGCGAAATACGCCTATTTAATGGATTTTCATTTTACCTAACTCAATCTTTGGAATTCTAAGTTGAACATCTGAATATTGATGTTATATAAGTGTATGTGAATTTTCACTATATGTTGGATCCAAGTACGACATGTTATTTTGGTGTAATCTTATATGTTATTACTCATATGTTAGAAGAGATTTGATATAATTTATAAATGTATGAACAATATATTGACTTTTCTTATATTCGGGCTAAAACGGTAGGACCATTAACCCTCAACTCACTTGCTTGACCGGGTCAACGGACTAAATCGGGTGACAACCTTGCTTATTCCTTTCTCTGACCTCCTGTTAAAGCGAGATAAAAACACACAAAAATTCCTCCCCACCAATGTTGTCAAACCGATTTATACTATTATATCGATTTTATAAGCGGTATGGGCTGAGTAGTGGTACAATTAGTTAATACCGATTTTAGCAAAACTTGTAGGAAATTGAAAATCGTCACAGTTAAATGAATCTAGGCATACATGTAATATATTTGAAAACAATTTCCCTAATACATACATGCATATTTAAATAAAATACAACATTCCAAACACAATATAAAATTCTCATATTTAAATGTAATATTTAATGCAAATATTCAAAAATTTGTACTTGAATCTAACAAACAACATGTACATCTAAACATCATACTTAAATCCAACAATAGCAGTGACTAAATGTGACCAGTTTCAGTAATTCAAGTGACCAAAATTGATATTAAAATTCTCTAGTGGCTAAACATGACACGATTTAGTAATCTCGGTGACCAAATGTGGCATTTACCCATTTTTCTTTTGCTTTACGTTTATTCACTTTTTACAATTCCAATGATTTTACGAAACTGGAGTCACTTCAACCTCAATAATTTTTTTTCATAGAACGAGATCCTCACTATATGAGTAATGTGATTTGAAAGGCCATGTGTACGATTCTAGTTACCTACAGAGTTTAATTGCAACCCTATCTATAGCGGATAAAGTCGTTACTACCTCGCCTATATCTATGCTTGGTGTCGATGTTAGTGGAGCTTCCATTCCACCACATGCATGTTCATGTTTAGCACTTGCTCCTCCACAAAACCAGGCATAAAGTCACCTTTTTATTCCGCCATCATAGAGCCATAAAATAAAACACAAGATCCCACTTGGTGTACCACTTTTTTTTCCAATGTGAAAATCACGTTGATTTGACTTAAAATCCTCTTCACTTCTTGAACAACGATTGCTAAGATACTACTCACAAGTCACACCTCTCTGAATACAGTTCAAACAAGGGTGTTCGATTGATGATTTTTGGGAACGAAAATACGTTCTGTTACTCCTACAGTCCTACTCCTATGGTAGTTCACTGAGAGCTCCAAACTATAGTTATGACCACTTTATAGAGAGAACATAAAACTTGACATAGGCATTGCGTGTGTGGTTTTGAGGAACCCCTTGTCTTTTTCGATCTCGATCTCCTCTTATTTATAGTTATGGGGTGGTAACCTTCTTACAAAACTGTCTAATCGATAACTGCTAAACAGAATTGCAAGTTGATCCCTCAGCTGCTTAGGTGCCTTTCTTATGAGCATCATGGGTCTTGGAGTGTAGCTTACTTTGGTTGGTGTTGTTTCAAAAGTCGTGCCATTGTGATGTGATCTTGTTTCATGCTAGTCTTTTGATGAGTCTGTGTTGTCTCACGAAGCGGTTGTAGTCTTCCATTCCTCTTGTCTCACGACCATGGACTTCTTAGGATATTCACGACCCTTTACTACAAAAAGTTTAGTCTGTTATGACAAATAAAATCATTGTTATATTTATTTTGTCGCAATAAATCATCTAATACGACGAATAACGAGTTTGTCATAACTTACCTGTCAGTTGTGAGAAGTAATATAATTGCGTAAAATTTTGTCACATTAAGTACATATTATGACAAAACTAATATGTCAATAACATTTTGTCAAAATATAGTTAGCAGGAAGGAGGACTTGAATTATAGAGTGACAGAATATTCGTCATAATTTCATTCGTCGCATTACCTACCATGTCAGATTTATCATGACAAATACTTTTGTCATCATATCAGAAATCTACATCTAATATGACTACACATACTTAGTCACAAAGAATGTGATCGATTATGGATTGGCGAGAAATTGTCGAGCGAAAGGTAAAATATTTGATGTGACAAATGGTGGATTTGTCAAACTATAATTTTTACCGTATTATGTCAAAATGTACGGTCGTATAAATTTATCAACATACACGTAATATGACAATTTAGTTGTTGTCACAATAGTTTACGTCGATATTGGTTTGGAAGGAATTTGTGGAGGAAACATAAAATGTAATATAAATTAGATGATGTTATAATAGTAATGATCACAAATTTTAATTAGCCAAAATATGAATTGAGGGAAGTTATGGGGGCAGATTAAATGTATATTACATTTGTCACAATATATGTTGGTTGATATGTATGATATGACAAGCAAGTTTGTCATAATTAATGTCAAGTATGCATTTAATATGACAAAAATCCTAAACCATGACAAAAACCATAAATCCCAAATTCTAAACTATAAATTCTAATTCGTGAACAATTAAAATAATTTGCACACCTGAACTCTAAATCTTGTAATGTAAATTTTAAATGATGAAGGCAAAATGTAAACCTTAAATCATGAAACTCGTATCCTAATTGTGCAATGATCCACTAATCGCTAACACATAAGTCCTCTTGTTGTTATGACTTGAAGTCTGATTATTGTCATCGTAAGAACATTGTACAAGAATTTGTTTTCTAGGTCGTTTAATGATACACCAAGTCGGTTCCAGTAGTTTCCTTGAACTTCATCTTCCTTAGCAACTCCTGGTCGAGTTCTCTTGCAATCACAGACTGAAACAGAGCACACACACAAACTATGCCGGAACTCAAACTGAAATGCAAAATAAGAAAACAACACACGATTTTTACTTGGTTTCCAATGTTGGGAGAATAAGGATCCCAATAGTGACTACTCCACGGTCGAAGACTCACGATTGTGTGATCTCTGACGATTCACTAATGATCATTGAAGTTCGTCATAAGAATATCTGCTCAAGAACACTTTGATCCATCTGAACCCGATCGATCAAAGTCAGTCACACAGAACCCCAAATTGCTTCCCCAGCAACTCGTAACCAGTGTTTCCTCAACACTAACCCTCAAAGCTGTTCTCCCCAACGCTTTGAGAAATTCCCTCTTGTCTAGCAATCGTTGTTGATCTCCGAAAAGGTTACCCTTCCTGGTTCTTTTAGTCTCCTTTTATAGTCAGGAATATGAACGTTAATCATTCAAATTCCTTCCCTATTTGTGATGATTTGCTTAAGAACTCAATCTCCCAATTTGATTTGCAGTGAGTTGGACGTTGGAGCCTTATTGTGCTCTCGTGCACTGCTGTAACCAATTTTCTTGATCTGATTTCTTATCTAATTTTCATCCACTAAAACCTTCCTTCCATGTTTTCTCCCGATCTTCCTTTCCTTTTCCAGTGGTCTTTGACTAGCTTGTTTCAACATTCCCCCCTAAGTTTGTCAAAGGCCCATGTTAAGCTGCTGCAAATTCCTGCACACTTGAACAAACTGTTGGTGCATCCTGTCCCATATTCTAATTATTGAGTAACATATGTCACACTTGCAAGAAAAAATGGGAGTCATTTTATTCATAGTAAATAACATCAAAGAACACTTGATACTTAAACTCAGCAAGACAAACTCTCAAAACAATCAAACAAGACTCAATACCTAAACTCAACTAGACTCGACAACCTGACTCGAACAATTATAATGCTAATACAACAGTCATGGATCTCCCCTAAGCCTAATAGCTGTCCACTCTAGTATGAATACTCCAGAGAAGTCACATACTCGGAATCATCTTCCTCATCATCCGACAACACGTAGATTTTGTTAGCTTCCTTATGTCGCTTGACGGAAGGGCTAGCCTCTTTGTCATTCAGTGCTAAAGCATATTCATGAAGTATAAGTTTTTTCCTTCCTTTACCAGCCTCATCCCTTCACGCAAGTACTCCAGGTTTGGATACTTCTTGCGCTTTCCAGATGATTCAGCAACTTCTTTTCCCTTATTAAGCTTTGCTATCACATCTACAGTTAGCG